ATGCCTGTAATCCCAGCTACTCAGGGAGGCTTGAGGGCAGGAGAATCACTTGGAAACCCGGAGGAGAGTTGTGGTGAGCCGAGGATCATTGCCACTCACTCCTTGCACCTTCCAGCCTGGGCAACTCACTCTGTTGCCCAGGCTAGAGTGCAGTGGCCTGATCTCAGCTCACTGCAACCTCTGCCTCCCAGGTTCAAGCGATTCTCCTTCCTCAGCCTGCCAAGTAGCTGGGAGTATAGGCAGGTGCCATCATGCCTGGCTAATTACAGGCGTGAGCCAGTGCACCTGGTCTTTTTTCTTTCTTTCTTTTTTTTTTTTTTTGAGATGGAGTCTTGCTCTTGTCACCCAGGCGAGAGTTCAATGGTGCAATCTTGGTTCACTGCAACTTCTGACTCCTGGGTTCAAGTGATTCTCCTGCCTCAGGTTCCTGAGTAGCTGGGATTACAGGTGCGTGTCACCACGTCCGGCTAATTTTTCTATTTTTAGTAGAGACAGGGTTTTGCAGTATCGACTGGGCTGGTCTCAAACTCCTGGCCTCAGGTGATCCATCAGCCTTAGCCTCCCAAAGTTCTGGGATTATAGGAGTGAACCACTGTGCCTGGCCATAAAGTACATTTTGATCCACCCGATGAAGCCCTCCTCTGCCAGTGTTCTGCTTCCCCCCATCGTTAGGGCAGCCAGATCCTAATTGTGCGTGTCGGCCTCGCCTTCTGCTACGTGTGCACCTTTCCCACATTACACAAATTCTTACCGTAATGTTGTGAAACACGCTGGGCACAGGTTTCTCTCCCTGTTTCACAGATGGGTCTAGAGACTTACATGACCCAGCCAAGGTCACACTGAAAGCCCTGGCGTGGCCTAGAACAGGCTTTCTCAGCCTCAGCACCATTGACATTTGGGGCAGGGCACGTTCTGTTGCCCAGTGCATTGTTGGATGTTTAGCAGCATCTCTGCTGTCTGACCACTGGATGCCAATAACATCAACCCCAGCCATGACACCCAACCATGTCTTCAGATGTTGTCAAACGTCTCCTGGTGGCTGAACCAGGCCCACTGAGAAATACTGTCTTAGAACGCTGTGGGTTCAGCATGCCGCCTTCATCTTTACATTGAAAACACAACTCCTGGCCAGGCGCGGTGGCTCAGCCTGGAATCCCAGCACTTTGGGAGGCCGAGGCAAGCAGATCACTTGAGGCCAGGAGTTGGAGACCAGCCTGGCCCACATGATGAGACCCCCATCACTACTAAAAATACAAAAATTAGCCAGGAATGGTGGCACACACCTGTAATCCCAGCTGCTATGGAGACTGAGGCAGGGGAATCACTTGTAACCCAGGAGGCAGAGGTTGCAGTGAGCCAAGATAGCACCACTGCACTCCAGCCTGGGTGACAGGGCAAGACTCTGTCTCAGAAAGAAAAAAAAAAAAGAAAGAACACACAACTCCCTCTCCTCAGTCTTACTCAGGGAGGAAAAAAAAGAAAGAAAACACAACTCCAAGGACCAACAATTAGTATTTTTCTTCCTTCCCTAACACACAACATAATCTCTTCAAAACAGATGGAACCCATATTCCAATACCTACCCTTGGCCTCTTTTCAAAGTATTTCTAGGGTGACAGCTGGGACAAAATGGGAAAAAAAAATATTTGGACGCAAGCTCTTTTTTCCACTGGGCTTTGAGAAAATCCCCATCTTGCGTGCTCCCAGTGTATCTCTCACTGATAAGTTCCTCATAAAACCAGGGCCTTCTCCAGGGCCACGCTGACAGAACTCCCATGAACACACCATGATTAGGACCCTGCTGCTGTCCACTTTGGTGGCTGGAGGTAAACCCTGTCACCCAGAGCCACTGGTTTCCCATCCCCTGGTGTGGCTGGGAATGGGATCTTCCTATCCTCCCCTCTCGCCCCACCCAACCCCCACTGCATTCAGACCTATAGTCATAAGAAAACTGGAATGGAGTTTCACAGAACTGGAGCAAAGAGCAGGATTCTATGACCTCTTGGGATCCTTCTAGAACAAGGGTTTTTCTATTTGGGGGTTCAGAATGCAGCAAGTGTAGTTTACATTGTGTGGGTCGCTGCTTCTTGGACTCAAGTCCCTTTCTCTTTTCATAGCCCTCAGTTGTGGGGTCCCCAGTTACCCGCCTGGTATGTCTAGGATGTATGGTGGTGAAGAAGCGAGGCCCAACAGCTGGCCCTGGCAGGTGAGTTGACCACACTGTACTTACCCCCGTCCCTGCCCCATTCCCTTTACATCCCCTCTTTGCCCTTCCACCATGGGGTCTACTGTGCTGGCAAAGTGAGCACTGATGGGACTCAGAGAGCAGCACAGGCAACTTCACCAGTAAGAGATATTTCCGGCTGGGCGCAGTGGCTCATGCCTGTTATCCCAGCACTTTGGGAGGCCATGGTGGGCAGATCACCTGAAGTCAAGAGTTTGAGACCAGCCTGGGCAAAGTGGTGAAACCCTGTCCCTACTAATAATACAAAATTAGCCAAGCGCAGTGGCGCATGCCTATAATCCCAGCAACTTGGGAGGCTGAGGCAGGAGAAACACTTGAACCCGAGAGGCAGAAGTTGTAGTGAGCTGAGATTGCACCCCTGCACTCCAGCCTGGGTAACAGACCGAGACTCTGTCTCAAAAAAAAAAAAAAAAGATACATTTCTGTGGCCTTGGCCAACCTTGGGAGTGGAGGGAGAGGTGCCTCCTCCAACTGCAGTAAGGAGCTGTCCCCTCCCCCCAACTGCCTATACACAAATTTACAACTATAGTCTTATTCTGTTAACCAATCAGAGGCTTGCTTTCAAATGTACCATTATCCTATGAACCATTCAAGACTACCTATGCAAATATTCCTTGCTTTAAGGAACCAATCAGTGCTATTTGTGCAGATTAATCTTTACAGGCAAATCAATGTTACCAAGGAAAATGTTTCTTAAGTTGATATAATAGTGATATTAAGACTAAACTGCCCAGTTGGGCACAGGCACAAATTACTAAGATGTGTTAATTGTGGGAATTTCAAAAGAATTGTATAAAGTTTACATTGACGCAAACAAATATAGTAAAATCTCATTTATCTGATGTAATTGGGACTGAGTAATTGAAAAGTTGGTCATAAAGAAATTATTTTAAATCATATATGCTGTAAACATTTTTAGACTATGTAAACAATTTTTTGAGTTCTTAACTGTCTTTTTCATATAAACCACGCCCCATAATATCTCATCTGCAAGTCCATTTCTTTAAAGCAGAGCAGTAACTTTGAGACGTTCACAAAGCAATCTGAGTTATGAGCCCATCCCGACTTTTATGACTTTTCCCCACAATCTTTCCATTTTCTCACAGACACTAATTCAAGAGCAATTTTTTAGGAATTATGGTGATTCAGTCTCTTCCAAGCATTTAACTTTGTTTCACAACTCTCTTTCTGAACTCATATTTCAGAATATTTGGTTACATATTTAATCAAATTTCATTATTGCAAACATAATTGATATAAACTGCTTTAGGAGCAAACCCAGTTGAATCAGGATGAGTTTCTAACTTAAATAGGAGGAGCAATTAGCAGCCCACTACCCTTGAGCATTCAGAGTGACCCATGCAGCAGTCACTGTATCTACAGAGGCCAGCGTTCATTCATCTGCTCCTTAAGACTGTCAATGATAGGCCAGGCACGGTGGCTCACACCTGTAATCCCAGCACTTTGGGAGGCCGAAGTGGGTGGATCACTTGAGGTCAGCAGTTCAAGACCAGCCTGGCCAACATGGGGAAACTCTGTCTCTACTAAAATTACAAAAATTAGCCAGGCATGATTGCAGGCACCTGTAATCCCAGCTACTCGGGAGGCTGAGGCATATATATATATGTGTGTGTGTATATATATATGTGTGTGTGTGTGTGTGTGTGTGTATATATATATATTTTTTTTTTGGTTAGACAGAGTTTCGCTTTTGTTGCCCAGGCTGGAGTGCAATGGCACAATCTCGGCTCACCGCAACGTCTGCCTCCCAGGTTCAAGCGATTCTCCTACCTCAGTCTCTAGAGTAGCTGGTATTACGGGCATGCGCCACCATGCCCAGCTAATTTTGTATTTTTAGTACAGACAGGGTTTCTCCATGTTGGTCAGGCTGGTCTCAAACTCCTGACCTCAGGTGATCTACCTGCCTTGGTCTCCCAAAGTGCTGGGATTATAGGTGTGAACCACCACGCCCGGCCAACAGGAATAGTATTTTAATGCAATTTTCTTTTTTTGGGGGGTGTGGGGGAGAGGCAGTGTCTTACTCTGTCACCGAGGCTGGAGTGCAGTGGCGCAATCTCGGCTAACTGCAACCTCCACCTTTCAGGTTCAAGCGATTCTCCTGCCTCAGCCTCCTGAGTACCTGGGATTAGAGATGTGTGCCACCACATCAGCTGATTTTTTTTGTATTTTAGTAGAGATAGGGTTTCACCATGTTGGCCAGGCTGGTCTCAAACTCCTGACCTCAGGTGATCCACCTGCCTCGGCCTCCCAAAGTGCTGGAATTACAGGTGTGAGCCACGGCACCAGCCAACTATTGTAATTACAGTATTAATCACTCTGAGAGCCCTACACAGTGGCTTATGTTCCGCATTATCAGAGAAGGCAACTGGGACTTCGAAAGGTTACAGAATTGCCCAAAGGCACTGAGTTAGCCTGGGGGAGAATGAGGATTCAAATTTAGTTCAGTGCATATTCTTTTAGCTACACTTTGCTGGCCACAAACAATACATATTACATGGACTAAATTTCACATCTGTAGGATGGTTTCTGCACATTTTTAAATTGGGGTGGGGGAGTAGATACTTTTAAGTGTCTTTTTTCCCTTGGTCCAATTTTAAACATCTTTTTTAAAGCCAGTTCATCTAACGCCCCTTAATGTCACAAAAATGAGAAATGCCCAGTGGCTAATTAAAAACAAGGATGTGGCTGGGCACAGTGGTTCACGCATGTAATCCCAACACTTTGGGAGGCTGAGGCAGGTGGATCACCTGAAGTCAGGAGTTGGAGATCAGCCTGGCCAACGTGGTGAAACCGCGACTCTATTAAAAGTACAAAAATCAGCGGGGCATGGTGGCAGGCACCCATAATCCCAGCTAGTGGGGAGGCTGAGGCAGGAGAATGGCTTGAATCTGGGAGGCAGAGGTTGCAGTGAGCTGAGATTGTGCCACTGCGCTCCAGCCCGGGCAACAGAGGGAGACTCCATCTCAAAAAATAAAATAAAGTAGAAGAGACAATAAACAACTGAAAGGGTAAACTAATAACACATCAGAAAACAAAAGATACTATGAAGAGTAAAGCAGAGACAGGGGAAAGAGACGAGGCTGTCTGTGTGTGCATATGTACATGAGTGTGCGTGTCTGTGTATGTACACACTGCTTGGAACAGCATGGTCATAGAAGACCTCATGGAGAAGGTAATCTTAAGCAGAGACCTACAGGAAGTGAAGGAAAGAGCTACACCGATATTTGCGAGAATATTCCAGGCAGGAGGAAGAGCCAGTGCAAAGGCCCTGAGGCAGAAGTGGGTTTGGTGTATTTGCAGAACTGCATGGAAGTCAGTGTGGCTGGAGGAGAGAAGAGTGGGAGCCTATGGGGTCAGAGAGGTCACAGAGGGCCTAGTAGGTCATCAGACAGTTTTAACTTTTGCAAACCGTAAAGGGGGAGCCACTGGAGAGTCTGAACAGAGAAGAGAAGTCATCTGACTTCCATTCAAAAAGGATCATTCTCGCTGCTGTGTTGAGAAAATGTGGGCAGGAGCAGGGAGAAGAGGTGGGAGACTAGAGTGATCATTGAGAAGAGAGGATGATTGGGACATGCAGTTGAGGTAGTGACCAAGGGGTAGCAACCATTCCACAAATTCTCAAGGTAGAGCTGACAGGATGTCCCCTGTGGAGATGGCCTCACTCTGTCACCCAGGCTGAGCACAGTGCAATGGCAGCTCACTGCAACCTAGACTTCCCAGGATCAAGCAATCCTCCCATCTCAGCCTCCTGAGTAGCTGGAACTACAGGTATGCACCACCACATCCAGTGGCTAATTTTGGGGTATTTTTCTGTAGAGACAGTGTATTAATCCGTTCTCACACTGCTAATAAAGACATACCTGAGACTGGGTAATTTATAAAGGAAAGAGATTTAATTGACTCACAGCTCAGCATGGCTGGGGAGGCCTCAGGAAACTTACAATCATGGCAGAAGGGGAAGGAAACACATCCTTCTTCACATGGTGGCAGCAGGGAGCAGTGCTGAGCAAAAGGGGGAAAGGCCCATTATAAAACCATCAAATCATGGCCGGGCACGGTGGCTCACGCCTGTAATCCCAGCACTTTGGGAGGCCGAGGTGGGCAGATCACAAGGTCAGGAGATGGAGAACACAGTGAAACCCCATCTCTACTAAAAATACAAAAAATTAACCGGGTGCGGTGTTGGGCACCTGTAGTCCCAGCTATTCAGGAGGCTGAGGGAGGAGAATGGCGTGAACCCAGGAGGTGGAGCTTGCAGTGAGCTGAGATTGCACCACTGCACTCCAGCCTGGGCGACAGAGCGAGACTCCGTCTCAAATAAACACATACATACATACATACATACATACATACATACATACATACATAAAACCATCAGATCTTGTGAGAACTCACGCACTATCACGAAAACAGCATGAGGACAGCATGGGGGTAACCACACTCATGATTCAATTACCTCTCACCAGGCCCCTCCCCCGACCTATGGGGATTATGGGAGCTACAATTCAGGATGAGATTTGGGTGGGGACACAGCCAAACCTTATCAGATGGGGTTTCACCACGTTGCCCAGGCTGGTCTCAAACTCCTGGGCTCAACGTAACCTCCTGCCTTGGCCTCCCAAAGTGTTGGGATTATAGTCATGAGCCACTGTGCCTGGCTTGAGTTTTTTTTACTATAGATTGCATTAACATGTTTTTTATCTTGATGTCTGAGGTTTTGGGTGCCTCCTTAAGTTGTGCACCTGAGGTGAGTGCCTCACTCCCCCTTACCCTTGTCCCAGCCCTGTTCTTGGGAAACTGGAGTGCAGGGAGACCGTGCTCTTTCAAACCCAGCCACAGCCACAGAGCTCCTGTGCTTCTCCCCAGGTCTCCCTGCAGTATAGCTCCAATGGCCAGTGGTACCACACCTGTGGAGGGTCCCTGATAGCCAACAACTGGGTCCTGACGGCCGCCCACTGCATCAGGTAACTGCCATTCCCTGGGTGCTTGGCCTGCTCACCAGCCGGTGCTCATTTCTGAGCTGGGGGCTCAAATGGCCTGCACTATGCTACATAAAGGAATCTTGCAAATAACCACTAGCCTGGCTGAGACACAAGCTGTAGTCAATCAATGGTTCAGTGTGTTGGTCCACCCATGGGTCATTTCATGGCATGAATGGAGTGCCCCGTGTCAGGCAGGCACTGAGGGAGGATGAAGAGGAGGGGAAGGCCCAATCTCTGCCCTCTTGGGGAAACGACATGTGACCTCTGGATCTGGAATTGGGTTCCCTTGAACAACTTAACTGACTTCTCAAAGTTTCAATACCATCACCTGCAGAAAATGGAGTAACAGAATTTAGTGTGGATTCAGTAATTGATTTGCTAAAGTGCCTGGCACTTTATTAAGTGCTCAATGAAAGCTAATTCTGAGTTGTAGACAAATTATAAAGGCCCACAAGGTTCTGCAATGTTACTCACTTACCCTCTTCTTTGTCTGTGACATCTGCTCATCACAGCTGGAACTCACCGGAGTTTCTGCTGGGTCAGTGTGACTCCCTACAAGGAGTGATCCCTTCTCCCATCTAATTTATAATAAGCTCTGTGAAATGATGGGGAAACTAATAGATGCCTACAGTCAGGAGTCCTGGCTTCTAGTTCTAGTTTCTCACTAATGGTGGCCTCTGGGCTAGTTACACCTGTCTGGGCCTCAGTTTCCCCATCTGAAAATGAAAGGTTGAAAATTTCCTTGAGGCCAAATGACTCCTGTTTTCTCTGTGTTCATCTCATTCCCTCCATAATACTATAGAGCCTGTGTTATTACAACATTTATTTTATATTGTAGTTTAAAGTTAGTATAGTAACGATTATTATATGATCATAGTTCTTATGTTATATACTTTAGGCTCTATTGTAACTAACTGATTGTCCCAGGGGAGGAAAGATCCCCAAGCCCAAGCCCCACCTAGTGGCTCATGCAACAGCCAGTTACTTGGGTCTATCCCAACATTATCCAAAGCCAGGCCTCTGGAGGTGACCCTCTCCCTGGGCCCCCTTTCTCCCAGCTCCTCCAGGACCTACCGCGTGGTGCTGGGACGGCACAACCTCTACGCTGCAGAGTCCGGCTCGCTGACCATCAGTGTCTCTAAGACTGTGGTGCACCAGGACTGGAACTCCGACCAGGTCTCCAAAGGGTTCGTTACTGTCTGGGTGCACTTGAGGGTGAGGTTGTCAGGGAACAGATGGGGGTCTCACAGAGGCAAGGGTCTCAACCCCACCACACTCACTCTGCTTTTTCTATAGGGAAGAGAAAGGAACTCTGGCCTCTTAGAGGTGGAACCAGCTCCAAAGCTGTCTGGGGTGGGGATGTGACCTGGGGAGGGAGAAGCAAAGACTGCCAGAGTGACCTGGGTTTGCTGCCAGTCAAGCCTGCAGGGCCCCTGTCCACTGAGCATGTATCTACTTCATGCCAAGTCCTGGGGACACAGGGACAGTGCTGTCAACCCTGTGACTGTCTCCGGAGTAGGACACAACCTCTCTTGCCTTGCCCCTTTCAACAAGGCCCTCTGCATTTTCTTTCTTTGTGTGTGTGTGTGTGTGTGTGTGTGTGTGAGTCAGAGTCTCACTCTGTCGCAGAGACTGAAGCGCAGTGGCGCGATCTCGGCTCATTGCAAGCTCTGCCTCCTGGGTTCATGCCATTCTCCTGCCTCAGCCTCCTGAGTAGCTGGGACTACAGGTGCCCGCCACCACCATGCCCAGCTAATTTTTTGTATTTTCAGTAGAGACGGGGTTTCACTGTGTTAGCCAGGATGGTCTCGATCTGCTGACCCCGTGATCTGCTTGCCTCAGTCTCCCAAAGTGCTGGGATTACAGGCGTCAGCCACCATGCCAGGCCGCCCGTCTGCATTTTCAAACATGCCCTGGGGCCCTGCCACTCAGAGCAACCTGGGGTAATGTATAGGGAACGATGACAAGGTCTCAGAGCCCTCCAAAGCCCTACAGGGCAGGAAAAGTCAACCCTGTCCTCATGCTCTGCCTCTGCACTGACCCAGGAACGATATTGCCCTGCTCAAACTGGCTAACCCCGTCTCCCTCACCGACAAGATCCAGCTGGCCTGCCTCCCTCCTGCTGGCACCATTCTACCCAACAAGTACCCCTGCTACGTCATGGGCTGGGGAAATCTGCAGAGTAAGTGGGAGCCAGGAGCCCCCAGGCCTGGGAGGGAAGGGAGGTGATGTCACCCCTGTCTGGCTAGAGCCTCTCACCTGTCATCCCAGGGTGTGTGGCTGCCTGGGAGAGACGGGATGGCATAGGCTGATGCCTGCCTGGGTTCAAATGTCAGCTCTCCCACTTCATGACTGTCACACCTTGGGCATATTACTAGGTCTCTCCATGCAGCACTTTTATCATATGTAAAATGCAAATAATTGGCTGGGAGCCATGGCTCATGCCTGTAATCCCAACACTTTGGGAGACCAAGGCGAGTGGGTCACTTGAGGTCAGGAGTTTGAGAGCAGCCTGGCCAACATGGTGAAACCCCATCTCTACTAAAAATATAAACTCACCAGGTGTGGTGGTGTGTACCTGTAGTCCCAGCTACTTGGGAGCCTGAGGCACGAGAATCGTTTGAACCTGGGAGGCAGAGGGTGCAGTAAGCCAAGATTGCGCCACTGCACTCCAGCCTGGGGGACAGAGCGAGACTCCGTCTAAAAAAAAAAAAACCGCATAATAATAGCAGCTACATCACAGAGTTGTCAAGAGGATTAAAGGAGATAATCCACAGGAAGCCTGGAGACCAGTGCCTGGCATGTGGTAGGTGCTGTGTGTTAGTTGTTGTCACTGTCCCTATGATGGAAAGAAAGTTGCAGAGATCATGTGACATCTTCTGTGTGGCCCAAGGCTAGAGTTCAGAACGGCATTTCCTCTGTGACCTGAGGCCTCTGGAGTTCCACAAAGGCCCCTGGAGCCCTCATCAGACCCTCCGTGCCCCATGGCAAAAGCTGTCCCCTGTGCCATTCGGTCTTGCTGCTCAGAACCTGGCTGAGGGCGGGTCTCCTTTGACATAGACTCCAGGGGTTAGAGATCCAATGACAGTAGCCACCAAAAGGAACAGAGTTCCCGCCCTTCCCTTGTGAAATCACCAGAGGTTTGGAAGATTCTAGGAAGGGATGAGTGATAATCACCTTATGACCATAATGACATGATGAGTGATAATGACATTATGACATTTCTTCCTAATGACATAAACCCATAAGTATAATGACATGTTTTTCCAGGGCACATCCACATACGTACCCTCCAATAAATCCCCATTGCCCTCTTGACTGGCTTATCTGTAAACACAGGGACACATGAAATCCTGCGGTGAGTGGTGGTGGAAGAGGCATTTCATGCTTATTAAGATAGAAGCACAACCGCCTGTTTGTTTCCCCAGACACCCCTGGGGCAGATGCAGTTCATCTGAGACAGTGAGAGCAGGGAGGCATCCAAATGCTTGGCTTTTAGGCCCAGCTCTGTCGGTCATGGTGAAACCTTGGGCAAGCCACTTCTGAACCTCAGTCTCCTCATCTGTAAAATGGAAACACGGTTGGTGAAGACCAAAAGAGGTGAAAGGTGAAAATGCATCAGACATTGCAAAATGTTATACAAGTGTTAATTACTTATAAATTAGAGTGATCTTAAGCAAAAACCTTTTTTTTTTTTTTTTTTGAGACAGAGCCTTGTTCTGTCACCCAGGCTGGAGTGCAGTGTGCAATCTCGGCTCACTGCAACCTTTGCCTCCCACAGATTCAACTGATTCTCCTGCCTCAGCCTCCTGAGTAGCTAGGATTACAGACACCATGCCCAGCTAATTTCTATATTTTACTAGAGATGAGGTTTCATCATGTTCGCCAGGTTGGTCTCAAACTCCTGACCGCAAGTGATCCACCTGCCTTGGCCTCCTAATCTGCTAGGATTACAGGGTGAACTACCATGCCTGGCTAATGCCTAACTTCCCTTGGCTTCAATCGCAACTGAAAAATTATGTTAAGCTCATCCTTGCCACTCATAGCTGTGGTAACAGTAATGGAGGTGATGGTGGCTGTGTCATTGGGGGCCATTATGAAAGCCCTCCCTTCACCACACCAGCATATTTTTCCCAAGGAGGCGGCTCTAACTGCCAGGAGGTTCACTTTCCTATTTCAGGTAAGTGACAGAAAACCAGGGAACTAGCTCAGCAAAAAAAATAAGGGAAATTGTTATAAGAATTTAAAAGTTTCAGCCCGGCCGGGCGCAGTGGCTCAAGCCTGTAATCCCAGCACTTTGGGAGGCCGAGACGGGCGGATCACGAGGTCAGGAGATCAAGACCATCCTGGCTAACCCGGTGAAACCCCGTCTCTACTAATAAATACAAAAAACTAGCCGGGCGAGGTGGCGGGCGCCTGTAGTCCCAGCTACTCGGGAGGCTGAGGCAGGAAAACGGTGTGAACCCGGGAGGCGGAGCTTGCAGTGAGCTGAGATCTGGCCACTGTACTCCAGCCTGGGCGACAGAGTGAAACTCCGTCTCAAAAAAAAAAAAAAAGTTTCAACCCAAGGGCAGAGATACAGCCAGTCATCAGGAACAGGCTAGAATCAGGGGTTGGAAGCCCGTAAGAAACTCAGGAAACACTCAGTTAGAAATTTCTTTCTTTGTGGGTCTACTTCATTCTTCTGCACACAGAAGAAAATGTCAGCCTTTGACAAGGACTTCCCAGATTTGCCTCCTCCACAACCGGAATCTCTCCATCCCCATCTCAAAATCCCAGGGGAGGGAGCTGATTGGCTTAGCTTGAGTCAGGCGTTCACTGCTGAACCAATCACCAGTGGCCAGCACACTAACCAATCAACTGTGAAGAAACAGTATAGACAAACATGGCTGTTCCCCTGTTGCAATGGATGGAAGACAGTAACGGGAAACCCAGTAGGGGTCTGCCACTTCCTTTTTCTCAGGAGTCCCTACGTCCCTAATGCCTTCTGTCTGGTCTCATTCAGCCAACAGGGCTGTCCCTGATGACCTGCAGCAGGGCCGGTTGCTGGTTGTGGACTATGCCACCTGCTCCAGCTCCCACTCTTGGGGCAGCACCGTGAAGACCAATATGATCTGCGCTGGGGGTGATGGCGTGATATGTACCTGCAACGTGAGTGCCAATAATCAGGGGCCCCGCTCCATGACAAAATGTGGCTGGGGATGGGAAGAGGCTATGGAAAATCATCCCTTGATAGGTCCATCCTCCCACCTCCTGGCAGAAGTACCCGGAAATGGTACCAGGTGTATCAGAACTTGACCTTTGGCCAGGCACGGTGGCTCACGCCTATAATCCCAGCATTTTGGGAGGCCGAGGCAGGCAGATCACTTGAGGTCAGCAGTTTGAGACCAGCCTGGCCAACATGGTGAAACCCTGTCTCTAGTAAAAATAAAAATTAGCCAGGCATGGTGGCGCGTACCTGTAGTCACAGCTACAATGGGAGGCTGAGGCAGGAGAATCACTTGAACCCAGAAGGCAGAGGGTGCAGCGAGCTGAGATGGTGCCACTGCACTCCAGCCTGGTTGACAGAGTGAAACTCAAAAAAAAAAAAAAAACAAAACAAAACAAAACCTGACCTTTTTTCTTCTTAGTTCTTGTTCTTGTTTGTTCTTGTTTTGAGATTCTCCTTGTCGCGTCCACCCCTCTCACTGCTGGGAAGTCCTTCCCTGGGTCTCATCAAGGTCTCTCGTGACTGTCATTCCGTATCCTTTCCTCTATGCTGGAAGGGAGCCAAAGGAAACTAATCCCTGGGTTGAATTACTCTCATCCATGGCACAGTGTGTCCCCTCCAGGTAGCTGCCATGGAAACCTTCCTGGAGACAGTGTCTTAACCACCAGGAATTGCTCTGTGTTGGACTTAGCAGTGAAGTGGGGATGGAATAGGAAGGAGATCCACACGCCCTTCAGATCACACTGTGCCCTACACACTCTGCCCACACAGACCACCCCATGCATGGGAAGACGGAGCCAGTGGGGAAGAGCCTGGCAGCTGAACTCTGGGATGTGGCCTCAGCTGCTTTACAAACTGCCTGTGCAACCTTGGGCAAGTCCCAACCTCTCAACTCTCCAGTTTCTTCTCTCCAGTGGCCTGGGGAGACTATGAATATTTACCTCCTAGGATTTTGTGGGGATTAATGAGATAAGGCATAGAACATGCTTAGCTCAGCTCTGGCCACACAGGAAGAATAAGTGTTGGCTCTTGTTGGAATTATGGTACCATCTTGGGCTATGACCGCAAGGGCTGCCTTCAGAGGACAGTGACCTGCAGCAGAACAATAGAAATGCATTAAGAACAATGGTTCCAATGGACAGCCCCTTCCTCTCCCCTTACCCTTTTATAACTCTGGCCTTCCTCAGGGAGACTCCGGCGGGCCGCTGAACTGTCAGGCAGCTGACGGCCGGTGGGAGGTGCATGGCATCGGCAGCCTCACGTCCGTCCTTGGCTGCAACTACTACTACATGCCCTCCATCTTCACACGGGTCTCCAACTATAATGACTGGATCAATTCGGTAAGAACCAGACCAGCCCTGAGCCCCAGGGCATTGCCCTGCTTACCTGGCCTTGGAGTGCCATGCCCACCTGGCGACTGAGAACCCCCTCCTTCCTCTTGAGAGCTAGATGGGAACCCCTTGGAGAAGGCTGCAGACCTTGGCAACTGCTGGGCCCCCCATGGGTCCCCAAAATTTCTGTGTGGGTAAAGCTGAGTGAAAAGGAACATAGAGGGTGGCCTTGTCCAAAGAGGTTGAACACTGCTTAGGCATGTTAAGAGTGAGTTCCATGGCCAGGCGCTGTGGCTCAGGCCTGTAATCCCAGCACTTTGGGAGGCCGAGGCGGGCAGATCACGAGGTCAGGAGACTGAGACCATCATGGCTAACACGGTGAAACCCCGTCTCTACTAAAAATACAAAAAAAAGAAAAATAGCTGGGCATGGTGGCGGGTGCCTGTAGTCCCAGCTACTTGGGAGGCTGAGGCAGGAAATGGCATGAACACGGGAAGGCGGCTTACAGTGAGCCGAGATCACGCCACTGCACTCCAGCATGGGTGACAGAGCAAGACTCTGTCTCAAAAAAAAAAAAAAAAGTTCCATAGGAATGGTGATTTTATTTCTGTGTATCTGTGTGTGGCCCAGACTCCACCATCGAGTGCTATAAACAGGTATATATTTGCAAAACCCAAAACCTGATACTTTGAGACCCCCATAGCATTAATTATTGGAAATTAGTGCCCCTTAGGCATCTTCCAGCTATTCTGTAGGGTGACCAACCATCCTGGTTTGCCCAGGACTGAGAGGTTTTCCAGGATGCAGGACTTCCTGTTTTACACTGGGACCATCCCAGGCAAATAAAGCTGAGTTGGTCCCGTCTTGTAAATGTAAACTCAGAGAGTTGTCTGCTCTGAGCTTCCACACTAGCTCAAATTCTTTTTAACAATAAACACACATTTTTTTATAACAATAAGCATTAAAAATTATTCATTAAAAATAATAGGCCAGGTGCCGTGGCTCATACAAATGTAATCGCACACTTTGGGAGGCCAAGAAGGGAGGATTGCTTGAGCCCGGGAGTTCAAGAGCAGCCTGGGCAACATAGCAAGACTCTGTCTTTACAAAGATTTTTTTTTTTTAATTAGGCATGGTGGTGCATGCCTGTAGTCTCAGCTACTTGGGAGGCTGAGGTGGAAGGATTTTTGGGCCCGAGAGGTGGAGGCTACAGTAAGCCAAGGTCACACTACTGCACTGCAGCCTGAGCGACATAGCAAGACCTTGTCTCTGAAAATAATAATAATAATAGTTGGCATCAATATTAAGGAGCAGCCATGGATATACGCAGAAGTAGGCGAAAGCAGCCAGAACAGGAAACCTAGTCACAAGAAAAGGGTGCCCAGGAGAGGGCAGAGGAAGCACCATGCCTGGTAATACAAGCTGGGGGAGAAGAGGCGGACACTCTGTGCCAATTAGGGACCACCTCAGTTTGCTCTTCTGTAAAATGGGACTTGAACTAGATCAGGACTCCTTCACATTTTTAGGCACTAGAGCAAGAGGGAGTTATGGTATTTGTGACAGAGCCCCCAAAGAAGGGGAAAGCTGGCATCTGACTTCACTAACTTTAATTTGCAGAGAAGTGTTACTTCTGCACTTATAAAACTAACTGACTTAACTGCACTTATAAAACTTCTGCACTTACAAAAGTAACTGACACTTATAAAACCAAATATGAAACTACAGCCATGAGCACGTGGTCACAGGAGGAAACTAAACTGTCAAAATAAGCAGGTGGCTGCTTCCAAGTGTTCCCACTGATTCTTGCCAGCTCCTTGTTCATTTGTCTGTCTGCTGGCGTCTTTTTGCCAACAAGTGGTCACAGGCAGAGATTCCGAAAACGTTTGTTGGAGAAAAATGGAAAATCAAAAAGCCAGTAGCCATTAATCATTAATTGGTTCTTTTTTATATATAAATTGGGAAAAACCCATCTGAGTCCACCTTTGGAGGCGCCACCCACATGTCAAAGGAGCCTGACCTGAGACTGACTGGATGAAAAGCTGCTTAGGGGCCTTTCCCAGCCAAATCCTGCTGTGGGAGTCACTGTGCAGCTGGTCCTGGCAGCAAGCTGGGGACCTGAAGCAGGGGCAATTGTCCCAATTTTTTTGTCCCAGCGTCAGCTGTTCCCAGCCACAGATATAAGCACAACAGAGCAGGCCAGATCCCGAAGCATGGCCAGATGGCAGCAGGGATCCACGGGGCAGCACGCCTCGCGAGGCAACTGGGCAGAGTCCCTGTATTCATGGAAGAGCCGTCAGGGCAGGCACAGATGCCCAGTAACAGGTTTCAGAACGGGGAGAGCCAAGCAACCAGCTGTCCTTGGGTGGGGGCTGCCCCTGGCAGCGGCGGAGGGGCTCGTGAAATCTTGCAGTGGCCCCAACCCAGGGACACACTGTGTGCAGCCTGGATTCACCAACCACTAGAGCCCTGGGGGTGCCTGAGAGCACCTGCCTGGATAAACCCAGACAGGTGACAAGCCAAGGTCAGGAAGTACAAGCAAAAGAGCAGAGAAGCAGAGGAGACAAGTGGCCCGGGGCATTCATCCTTTCAACAAATGTCCATTGAATGACAGTCACACGTGAAACTTCAGCGATCCTTAGCTTTTATTCTTTTTCCAGAAAGTAATACATACTGTGTAAAAATATTAAAACAATATGAGTGTATCAAGTAAAATGTATCAAGATGTCCCCCCTCATTTTACATCTCCAATTCTACTCTCCAGAGGTAATCATTGTTTTTGTTTGTTTTCATACGGAGTCTCACTCTGTTGCCCAGGCTGGAGTACAGTGGCTTGATAGCTCACTGCAACCTCTGCCTCCCAGGTTCAAGCAATTCTCCTGCCTCAGCCTCCTAACTAGCTGGGATTACAGGCATGCACCAACATGCCCAGGTAATTTTTGTATTTTTAGTAGAAATGGGGTTTCACCATGTTTTAGCCAGGCTGGTCTTGAACTCCTGAGCTCAGGTGATCTGCCCATCTCGGCCTCCCAATGTGCTGGGATTACAAGCGTGAGCCACCGCGCCCTGCCAATCATTGTTAAAAGCTTGGTGTGTGATCTTCTCAACTTTATGTGCATATGTATCTATACATAGAGAGAAAGAGAGACACTGTCTTCTAAGCAAAAATAGGATCTGAGTCTTCATACTATTCTGCAGCTGTTTTTCACTTAACACCTTATTACATTTTATATGTCAGTACATACATGTCATTCTTCTGAACAGCTAAATAGTATTCCATAGTTTTAGTATACTGAATGAAGTTTTAATGTTCCCTATTTTTCACTCTTACATTGTGCAGTGAACATCCTTGGACATAATTCCTGCACACTGGTCTGAGTATTTGTGCTGTAGCAGCTGGATCTCCTGCCGTTTACAGCGCTGAATCATGAAGTTGGCATATCAAAATGTTTAACAGGCCAGGCGCGGTGGTTCACACCTATAATCCCAGTACTTTGGGAAGCTGAGGCAGGTAGATCACTTGAGGTCAGCAGTTTGAGACCAGCCTGGCCAACATGGTGAAACCCTGAATCTAGTAAAAATGCAAAAAAAAACCAGCCAGGCGTGGTGGTGCACACCTGTAATATCAGCTACTCAGGAGGCTGAGGCAGAAGAATCGCTTGAACCTGGGAGGCAGAGGTTGCAGGGAGCCTAGATCGTGCCACTGCACTCCAGCCTGGGAAACAGAGTTAGACTGTCTCAAAGAAAAAAAAAAAAAAGTTTAACAGATACTGATCAACAGTCTCCGGAAATAGTAATTGCCCCAACCATACTGCATAACTGCCTTGCAAACAGAAGTTTTGATTTGAGAAACAAATGAAATCTAAAATACGCCATCCACACATTTGGAATATAAGTTTTAGGGGGTTCAAAGGCCCCCTACCCTGAAGCCCACACAGGACTCCTGGCTAAGACCCCCTTTACAGGAAGACCCTAACAGGTCAATGAAAAGCTGTGATTGCATCTTTTTTCCGAAACGTCATCAGAACTCCTCAGGCAGGAGCTAGTGCAGTGTGGGCTGCCTGTGACTCACATGAGGAGCTTAGCCCAGGAGGACAGAGACAGGAAACTGCCACGCACAGCTCTGCGGTTAGGTGAACCTGACGATTTTCTTGTGTGTCCTGCAGGTGATTGCAAATAACTAACCAAAAGAAGTCCCCGGGACGGTTTCAGACTTGGAAAGGTCACAGAAGGAAAATAATATTATATAAAGTGACAACTATATAAATCACATCTTGATGAGGGTTTTATTATTATTTATTTAGCAATCCATCCTAACATCCAGGGCCCTAAAAACCAGAAATAGGTCAGGCTCAATGGCTCAAGCCTGTAACCCCTGCACTTTGCTGATCGCTTGAGTCCAGGAGTTCAAGACCAGCCTGAGTAACATGGCGTAACCCTGTCTCTACTAAAAATACAAAAATTAACTGGGAGAGGTAGCGCACACCTGTAGTCCCAGCTACTTAGGAGGCTGAGGTGGGAGGATCTCTTGAGCCCAGGAGGTCAAGACTGCAGGAAGCCAAGATCGCATCAGTACACTCCAGCCTGGGTGACAGAGTAACACCCTTTCTCCAAAAAAAAAAAAAAAAAAGCCCAAAAAACAACAAATAGGCTGGCATAAGGACAGCTTAAAAGACCTCAGGGTGGAGCAGCCCAACGTGTCACTATTGCACAGCACATTCACACTGCAGTCTGGGGGTGCTTCATGGGCCCCTCCCTATAATTATCTCTGGATAATTGTGTTCCCTTGGACAATGGACCTAACCTCCCTGAGCACAGGGTTCTCACCCTTGTTCCCTTGTTGCCTTCCTGGGATGGAATAGGGATCAAGTGAAATGAGACATGAAGAAATGGGGCTGGGTGAGGTGGTGCAGCCTGTAGTTACAGCTACTTGGGAGGGTCACCGCAGCCCAGGAGTTTGAGACCAGCCTGGGCAACATAGTGAGAGCCCAGAAAAACATGGGGAAATGTTTTGAAAAAAGCAAAAGTCTCTTTTGTAAGGAAGAACAAAGAGTTGGAGCAAAATTAGGGAAGAAATAGGCAAAAGAGAGTCCATATTTGCCTTTTATTTTTTAGGATTAATGCAATGTAGGAAAAATTAACTATTTTTAAAACTTCACTTAGAATTCACAGATTACAGCTGTTCAGGCTCTAGTAGGCCCCAGCTTGCTGATCTATGAGAGATACTGGTTTGTGTGTAGCCAAAAATCCCTACAGACCAGTGGTTGTCAGGTGAGTAAAGTCTTATACCCCAGGACATATTTGGCAACACCTGAGAACATTTTTGTTTGGCACCACTCAGGGAGACGTGTCACTGGCATTGAGGCGAGGGACAGTGCTGAACATCCAGGACAGCCTCACAGCAAAGGGTGACCTGACCCCACAGGTCAGTAGTACAGAGGTTAATCCCTGCCCTAGAGAGAACACAGGGATCACGGGACAGTCACTAGCCCTGGACCAGCCACTGCTCAAGAGGCCACACACAATCCATGGCATTCATCTGTCCCTCTTCCTCCACTGTTCAGCACTTGTCGCCAATCTGGAAGCTGCTAAGAGCCTGTCTGTCACTGGCAGAGAAAGAGCAGACCCTGTGCCGGCTACAAAGTCCTTGAGTTGCAGGAAAGTCCAGGTCTCAGCCACTTTCAGGCCTGGGGCAGGAAGGCTTTGGGGTGCAAGATAAGGCAGGGTGAGGGGCCCTGGCCTTATGATGTTTTAAAGAAAAGCTTTTTCCGGAGGAAATTAAAGCAACCAGGCATCTGTTTATAAATCCCTTTCACCGAAACAGCATCAGCGACCTGTAAGACATGACCATGGAGAGCTCTGTGAGTTCAGTTCTCTGGACTGAAGGAACAATTCAAGAGGGGCTGGGGGGAATGTCCACTCAACCGACACCTTAAAAACAGCTCAAACTGCAGCCTCTTTGAGCAGGAGGGCTTAAAGAACACGCACCTCAACTTTACCTTTAAAAAACTCAAAATTCAAAATTTCCAAACTCATAAAGTTCAAATCAGACTGAACTATTTGCAAGGAGCAGGGAGTGGCCTCAGCCCCGCGGCCCCTTCTCATGGCAGGAACACCTGAGCAGAGCAGCAGGGGCCCACACGCGCTGCTTCCCCAAGGCAGCCACAAGTCTATGGGACCCTCAGAGGAAGCAACTGTTCTGAGTGGGGTTTCCTTGGAGTAGGACTGGGCCTCTCAGGCCACCCTCAGGCCACCCTTTCCTATCTGTTTCCTCACTGGGGCCTCCTGAGAAGGAGATGTACAAGGAGGGGTTCATAATTCTTGAGGGTCAAGAGTAGAAGACTGCGTGATGGCCGCAGGGTATAGGCAGGGGCCCATGACCTGCCTTCGGGATCTGGACAGAGCCATCCCGCGCTGGCACCGAGGACCAGCTCCATCAGTGGAGGAGCAGGAGGTGTCAACCTGGGGACCTTGGAGGAGACAGGGAAGGCAACTCTTTGAATAAAGGGCAAATGTCACCACAGGCAGGAATGCCTCTCATAGAGACACAAAAGTACTGACTCCAAGGCTCAGAGGAGTCTACTACCTTTTACCCTTGGTTTGGGCCTGCCCTGCTCACCCCCAATCCCCAGCCCCAGGAGAACACGCTGCCCCCCAGCAGCCTCCCCTCTCCTTTGCAGAGGAAGGCAGCACTCACCCTGAGCAGGAGGGACTGCAGGTCTTCAGAGTGAGCCCACTGCTCAAAGATGTTGTCCAGGGTCTCAATGTACCAGGAGCCACTCTCAGGGTCCCTCAGGGAGACAAAACCTTTGGAGGGAGGAGGACTGAACACTGCTGGAGAGCCACCCCCGTGCCCCGCCCCCCCGCCCAGCCACGTACGCAGGCTCGGGTGCCCTGCAGACCTTGACTCACGCATGCATCCAGCAGGAGCAGCCTGGCCCCTGAGGCTCTGCCCTAATCATGATCTTATTTCACCTCGTGACCATCTCCTGATTCTGGCTATGATTCCCGTTTTCCCAGCAAGGAAACGAAGGCTTGGAAAAGTGAAGTGACTCATCCAAGGCATAAGAAAGGAAGGAAACTGCCGGGCCCAGTGGCTCACACCTGTAATCCCAGCATTTTGGAAGGCCGAGGTGGGCAAATCACTTGAGGTCAGGAGTTCAAGACCAGCCTGGCCAACATGCTGAATCCCTGTCTCTACTAAAAATACAAAAATTAGCTGGGTGTGATGGTGCACGCCTGTAATCCCAGCTACTTAGGAGGCTGAGGCAGGAGAATTACTTCAACCTGGGAGGTGGAGGTTGCAGTGAGCTGAGATTGTGCCACTGCACTCCAGCCTGGGTGACAGAGCAAGACTCCGTCTCAAAAAAAAAAAAAAAAAAGGAAGGAAGGAAACTACCACCTGCTGCACCTACTATGTGCCACGTACTGTGCTCAGTGACGTGCCAGCCACCTTGTTTAATCGCCATGGCAACCCCTGAGGCACAATTCCTATTCCCTGCTAAAGATGCAAAGGCAGAGGCAGAGTCAGGCAGAGGAGAGGCAAGTGAGGCATAGGAACCCAAGGGCGCAGGCCTCCTTGCAGTGCACATCCTTGTCTGCTCAGCCTGAGCCAAGATTCAGAGAGGAGAAGTCAGTCATTCAGGGTCACAGAGGAGCAAGGGACAGAACCAGGACTCATACCCTGGTCTCTTCTCTCACCACACAGCTGCCTCTAGGGCAGATAGGAAGGCCCTCTGGCTGCAAGGGCGAGCCCTTCTGATGTGCTCACCCGGGAAAGTAGAGTAGGACACAAAGATGTCGCTGGGTGTGGGCAAACTAGATACAGCGTCCAGCTGGTCAAAGGTCCTCAAATCTTCCTGGAACGGGGTGGCGTCTGGCTCGGGGTTACTGCCAGAGGACTCGTCTTCAGGGGAGGTGGAGGCCACCTCAAACCCATGGTCTTTCTGCTCTGCAGGAAGCAGAAACAAACACACCTTGTCATTGAACTACACAGACAAGGATGGTTCAACATATGAAAGTCAGTGTAATATACTACATTAACAGTGTGAGGGGAAAATCAATCTTGGGTCCCCAGACTCATTAAGCCAAACAGAAAAGTCAAGCTGGGAACTGGGTCATGCAAACCCGCCTCCCCGTTTTGGTTCCTAAATAAGATGGCTACAAGATGAACAGCTACATACCTCCCTCAGATTTTGCCCACAAGGAAATTCCTGGTGAGCTCCAAGACAGCTGTCTGATAAAATTCACCATGGCAATGTAAATGGATAGCTTATCTTTACAGAGGCATCACCCCTCTGCTCACCTGGCACAAATGCATATCTGATTATTCCCCTGTCCCATTTGTCTTTGTTACCTTATGTAAACATGCAGGTTCCCTGCATTTTCCCCTGCCCTATGTTACCTTACGTAAAAATGCAAATTCACTGAGCCAGACAAAGGCATGAATGACTATTTTCCCCCTACCCTGCTCTTACATGAAAACTGTGTACTTCTCAATATCCCGCCCTTTCCCCTTTAAATTTGGAACTCTAAAATTCATGTTCAGAGAAAGGCATAGACCTGTCTCCTGGATGCGCGTCCTTAACTTTGGCAAAAGAAACTTCTTAAATTGACTGAGACCTGTCTCAGATTTTTGAGGTTCATAAGAGAGTGAAAAAAACCTTACATCATCATCTCAATTGATGCAGAAAAAGCACATGACAAAATTCAACAACCTTTCATGATAAAAACAGTCGACAAACTCAGAATAGAAGGAAACTACCTCAACATAATATAAAAGCCATATATGAAAAACCCACAGCAAACATTATACTCAATGGTGAAAGACTGAAACCTTTTTCTATAAGATCAGGAAGGTGGCAAGACTTCCTGCTTTTGCCACTTCTATTCAACATATTACTAGAGGTTTTCAATAGAGCAAGAAGGCAAGAAAAAGAAATAAAAGACATTCAAATTGGAAAGAAGGAGTAAAATTGTCTCTGTTCACAGATGGTATGATTTTATATGTAGAAAACCCTAAAGATTAAACACTATTAGAACAAATAAAATTAGCATATTAGCAGGATACAAAGCCAACCATAAAAAATATTTGCATTTCTGTACACTAACGATGAACAATCAGAAAACGAAATTACAAAAATGGTTCCATTGACAATAGCATCAAAAATAATAAAATAGTTAGCAATTAACTTAACCAAGATGAAAGACTTGTAAAATGAAAACTACAAAACATTGCTGAAAGAAATTAAAGAAGGCTGGACGCCATGGCTCACGCCTGTAATCACAACACTTTGGGAGGCTGAGGCAGGAGGATCCCTTGAGCCCAGGAGTTCCAGACCAAAAAAACCTCATCTCTACACATAATAAAAAATTTAGCCAGGTGCGGTGGCACATGCCTGTGGTCCCAGCTACTTGTGAGGCTGAGGTGGGAGAACCACTTGAGTCCAAGCAGTTGAGTCTGCACTATGCCATGATTGCGCCACTGCACTTCAGCCTGGGTGACAAAGCAAGACCCAGTCTCGAAAAAGAGCCAGCCATGGTGGCTCACACCTGTAATCCCAGCACTTTGGGAGGCCAAGGCAGGCAGATCACCTGAGGTCAGGAGTTTGAAACAAGCCTGGCCAACATGGTAAAATCCCGTCTCTACTAAAAAATACAAAAATTACCCAGGCGTGGTGGTGGGCATCTGTAATCCCAGCTACTTGGGAGGCTGAGGCAGGAAAATCGCTTGAATCCAGGAGGCAGAGGTTGCAGTGAGTCAAGATCATGCCACTGCACTCCAGCCTGGGTAACAGAGCAAGACTCCATCTAAAAAAAAAGAAAGAAAAATAAAGAAGATACAGGCCAGGCACGGTGGCTCACGCCTGTAATCCCAACACTTTGGGAGGCCAAGGCGGGCGGATCACTAGGTCAGGAGATTGAAACTATCCTGACCAACATGGTGAAACCCCGTCTCTACTAAAAATACAAAAAATTAGCTGGGCATGGTGGCGTGTGCCTGTAATCCCAGCTACTCAGGAGGCTGAGGCAGGAGAATTGCTTGAACCAGGGAGTCAGAGGTTGCAGTGAGCCGAGATGGCACCACAGCACTCCAGTCTGACAACAGAGCAAGACTCCATCTCAAAAAAATAAAATAAAATAAAAGATATAAATGGAAATATATCCTATGTTTATAGATTAGAAAACTTAAAGATATCAATACTACCCAAAGCAATTTATAGATTAAATGCAATCCCTATCAAAAGCCCAATGATGTTTTTTGCAGAAATAGAAAATCTATCCTAAAATTCACACGAGAATCTCAAGGGACCCCAAATAGACAAAACAATCTGGAAAAAGAGCAAAATTGGAGGACTCATACGTCCTGATTTCAAAACTTACTACAAAGCTACAGTAATCAAAACAGCATGGTACTGGCATAAAGACAGACACAGGTCAGTGTCATTGAATAGAGTCCAGACATATACCCTCACACACATGGTCAAATGAATTTTGAAAAGGGTGGCAGGACCATTCAGTGGGGAGAGGGCAGTGGTTTTTTGTTTTGTTTTGTTTTGGGGGATTTTTGTTTTTGTTTTTTGAGACAGAGTCTCATTCTGCCACCCTGGTTGGAGTGCAGTGGTGCAATCACAGCTCACTGCAGCCTTGACCTCCGAGGCTCAAGTGATCCCCCCACCTCAGCCTGTCAAGCAGCTGGGACTACAGGTGCCACCACACCCAGCTAATTTTTGTATTTTTTGTAGAGACAGGATCTTGCCATGTTGCCCAGGCTGGTCTCAAACTCCTGGGCTCAAGCAATCTGCCTGCCTTGGCCTCCCAAAGGACTGGGATTACAGGTTGTTTTTTTTTTTTAAGAGACAGGTTTTTGCTATGTTGCCCAGATTGGAGTGAAGTGGCACGATCTTAGCTTGCTCCAGCCTCAAACTCCTGAGCTCAAGCAATCGTCTCAAAAAAATGGTTAACATGGCAAATTTTATATTACGTGTATTTTGCCACAATTTTTTAAAAGTCATATCAAACTTGTCTTTTTTCAGAAATACAGTTGAAGAAACTGTCCACTATATCACACTCAAACTCACTCAAATCCTTTACTCAGGCTGTCAAGGTCACAGTGTCTCCTTTAAGACAATCAAGGGAAGAAATGTGTCTGGGGTCCCTACTCCTGACTTCTGTCCTACAAATACCAGATATAGAACTATAGAACACCAGATTCCATGGATCTTGAAAGTGATCTTTTTTTGTTTTGAGAGTCTCGCTCTGTCATCCAGGCTGGAGTGGGAGTGCAGTGGCGCGATCCATTGCAAGCTTCGCCTCCCAGGTTCAAGTGATTCTCCTGCCTCAGCCTCCCAAGTAGCTGAGACTACAGGTGCGTGCCACCACGCCTGGCTAATTTTTTGTATTTTTAGTAGAGACGGGGTTTCACTGTGTTAGCCAGGATGGTCTTGATCTCCTGACCTCAGGATCTGCCCGCCTTGGCCTCCCAAAGTGCTGGCATTACAGGAGTGAGCCACTGCGCCTGGCCAGTGATCTTATTTCCAATGGTGGCTAGAAAGCGTAAAAAAGCGCAGGCCACCTCTAGCAAGTAGATATCACTATTTCATTTTATGTAATTAGGCAACTGAGACTCAGATAAGTTAAGGGGTTTCCCCCCCAAGACAGAGGCTGACTGGGACTTTGACCCACCTCATTTTTGAGTCTACTATTACCAATGGCTGGGATTTTTCCATGTTTCTTTACATCTGCAAAGTGATTTTATCTCTAAAATCAGTGTTGTATACCTCACATTTTTAATTCACTTGTACTTTAGAGAACGTACAAAGCTGCAGGACATCCTAGGATGTATTTTTGGAATCCGAACTTACTCTTACTTTTCTTCTCTCCTTGTGTTTCTTCTCTATTTTGTCCTAGTGTTATCATTTGTACTTCTTGCGCTATGGCAAATCCTTTTCTAGAATCAAAGAAGCCATCAAAAAAATACCAAATAGACACCAAGTCATGGGTAATGAAATCCATGGAGATCTTTACACCTTCTAATCCAGTAATTTCCTAAGAAAATAATTCAAAT